ACATATTTCATAATGCATAACTATACATAATATATGTATATATATATATATATATATATATACTACATATGTATAACTATTTATATATTGTGTTGCGCGCGCGCGAGCGCAATATTTTATATAAATAGTATATACATATGTGTATATATGTATATGTACACATATATATGTAGAAATAAATGATGCACTTGAAATAAATACACAGATTATGAAATAATGAATATATAGTGTGAAGTTTTGTAATTTTCATAACTTTTGTTTTCACTAACTTCAAATAGAAAAATCAGCTAATGACAGAAATGTCTTGCAGAAGATCGCAATAATAATTTACGCTGTGTTCGTTCGTAGAATTTAGTTGCGCGCATTACAGATACATTGGAAAAATCATATGACTCGTGTTCGTATGATCAAAATTTACTAAAAAATTTTAAATTACGATATAATTTGATAGCATAAGACAATAGCATGTCATATATAAATGGGCAAAATCAGGTAAGACTAAAGCAAAAGTATTTAATTTATTATTTAATTTATTTGACGAAATTAAATAGGAAAATTAAATTTATTTGATGAAATTAAATAGGAAAGCAAATATGGGCAATTTGCTCACAAATTATTAAAAATAGCTTCAATATCTGGTAGAAAGGTTGCACTTCGCCGTGTTGACCAATCTTCTGATGTTTCTACTGAATTGTTACATGAATTTGGTACCACAGATGTAGCAATTGGGGTATATTTTGGAATTTGTTAATATTTTTTCACATAAAGTTTTATAGTATGAATTATAACTAATTATAAATTATACGTTTCATTATTATTTACAAAGGATGTTACAGCAGAAGTTATGATAACAACAATGGGTAAAATCCCAAGTGAAATGTTTTATTTAGAGGACATACCAGGTACTATAGTTCCACAAAGAATACAAACAACATCGACATTTGCAAAAACTATGATGGAAACAACAGAATACTATCGGCCTGTAGAGTCTACTAGTCATTCATCAGTTTTAGTTGCTCTATTAACTGCTCTCTTTATAATATTATTATTATGTTGTATCACGGCATGTATCGTAACTAAATCAAAGAAGAAAAGTAATTTCTTTGGTAAAGGGGATATGGAGTGTGAGCCAGGATGTACAGGCATAAATCAACCTTTGCTAGAAAAGTTTTCAAGCACAACAAATAAAACCAGCTCTTTGAGAAACTAAAACTGACTTGACATGAATCTGCATAAATAAAATGTGTGATTATTTCTTATCAGATCCTCGAGGAATTATAACGTATGAAGTAGCAATATAATACAAAGTGATTATGTTATGAGTAGGCTTTGGATGAAAAGGCACATTAAAAAATGAAGTGTCCGCTGAATTAATATTCTGCGACTGTTCGCAAAAATAAGTTTTACACAAAAAAAATACGAAACACGATAAATTTCAGATCAATAGAAAACGGGAAAACCGCAACTTTGTGGAAAATACGTTTGGGAAAGTCACATGTAACGAGAGGACAAACGAAATGTGACTTAACCTATAAAAACAGGGAACTTACCTGGTTTTACTGGTGTCGCCGTAGTAGAAGCTGTAGCACCGAAGCTGAATGTAGGAGCGGGCGTCGAAGTTGTTCCTCCGAATCCCGTGCCAAATGACATTTCTCAAATTAAACTAAATTTATCGTATTTATCACGAAAATAATATTTACCGCGCGCGCCTTACAATTTCGTATAAGCGACAGTGTAACGAATATGGCGGCTGACATGTGCCGCGAATGCACGCTTCGTTTTCGTGCAGCCCTATGTCACGTGATGATATTGAATGCTAACTATTCAAGTTTGCCCCATCTAAATCACAAAACACGGCACAATCTTGCTGTTAAATTAGAACTAAGTTTATTTGATTTTTTTTAATACAACTGTATCTCATTTTGTACTACATATTTTTCATAATCGTCGTATGGATCTATGATGTATTAAATATACATATTTCTTTAGATAATGATACGTTTCGTTATTTTACGTCTTCGCAAAAACAAAATTCATTTGCCTTCCCGTAAACTTGTTAGAGTTTATGATAATAAAGCAATAACATATTTACGTGAATTATATATGTTTTCGATTTTAAGTTCCAAAAAATATATAATCGTACATATAATTATAAAATTGTAACACAGCAAAGATCCGTAAACGATTAATAGATATCCGAAAGTGGACGCTTTTTTCGACAAGCGCAGGGTCATCAATAACAGATACAATATGAATTTTTAACGAATTTTATAATTTAGAAACTTAAAAATAAATATATTTCCATATTTTCTAACGTATATATATATGATACTTTCTTTAACAGTTCAATAATACTAATATATGTATATCGTATAATAATATTGTAGTCAAGCGCAATTCGCGCGACAGTCGATCGAAGAAGTATAGTAAAAAAGACGTAGATGAGCGCGACAATGATTATACTAGAAACGATTCAACAGAAACGTTCGTAAAATTTCTCTAAACATCATGTATACGTAGAGTGGCAAAATTGAAATGCACGTACGAAAAACTTGTGCTTCGTGGCTTATCCAATCTACGTTATACAGATAAGTCGTCTTGTGTACCGATAAAATTTGAATTGCAGTCAAATCACATTATCTTCCCGTTGATAATGTAAAACGGTTTCTGAACTCAACAATTTTCAAACACTTTAATGTTCGCGTTTATAAAATTTAAACTTTTGGCTTCCATTAAAACAATCCTCAAATATATCTCTTTGGTATAACATCTTGAGTATCGAATGTAACATCGAACTCAATTGCATGACATTTATAAATGTTTTTTTTTTTTTCAAGCAGTCCGTATATCTGTTTAAAAAATTTTGAAAAAAGGGGAGAAACATGATACTGCGTCCCATTCGGGAAATCTCACTCCATTAACACAATCTAAATCTTCTACAGATTCACGCTATGCGTGACGAAATAAATTGGCAATATAATGATAATTGAATTTCCGTCGCTATAAATACGATCCTCGGTTTGTTTTCGATTAGAAAATAAGAACATGCAGTTCTATCACGCATGTGTACATTTAATTCTAGTTTTAGAAGTGAGAGAGAAACAGAGCGTTTTGCCATGAGCTTTTAGCTCGTTCGTACATTCATATGCTCGTATTGCTTTTGTCATCCTAATCGACGGGGCTCGTTCGTTCAGCCAACCTGGTCCGTTTCTAAAAAGAAGAATTTAAAAACGATAATCCTTCAGATATCATGCGGGGTAAGCGGAAAAGGTTTTCTTGCCCATTCATAAATAATTGATATTTCATTTGACTCAAGCACCCGAGCACCTTTACATTTAGATCAGTCATCAAAGGGTACAATCTGAAAGATTAAACGTTGGTTGGCCATAAAGTGTGTCGATCCACCTCATCAAGACTCCCAAATTATTTATGAATGGCGCAGTATTTGAAGCGTTTAAATCTCGTTAGCACGTTCACGGTTTTGCGTGTGTACCTTGTTGCCCGCGATTAAACATCAATTCTTGCCGAACACCAATTTCGCGTGCCGTGCAACATTTCGTACAATTTGGGAGCAGACTTCATGAGGTTCACATCGATTCGCTATCTCGGAAACGACCAGGTCATTGTCTAACGAGATTTAACTGCAATCGTTAACAAATCATGCGTGAACCATATAAAAAAATTTAGGCCTGGAACAAACGAAACGTCCGTAATGCTTTCTGCGCTTTGGTTAAGCGGATCGCGATTTAAATTATACAATATCCAATATGCATTGAATGGTGTATCCCATATGAAACGTATAATTCGAGATATTTGCAGATGAATGGAAATGTTCCTTTTGTCTTTTCTTTTCTCTTTCTTGGACCCGTATAAACCGTGCGCGAAGAAATTCGGATCATTTTGCATTATCACGTTGGCGTTTTGCACCAATAGACAGAATGCGATAATTCCATATTTTGCATAAAATATTCGAAAGTCAACAGCAAATATTTTACGAAGTGTTTGGTCCGTGTTACGTCAATCAATTTTTATGCAACATTCCCGTTGAACACCGATGAACTCCGGTATTCAAGGGAACGTGATGCAAATTTATTTAACTGTGATTTAATTAAGAATTGATTCGTTTGATAAAACTTCTCTGTACAAATATCCATATAATAATAAAATCTCGATAGTCGGAAATATTTGCAACTGTGCAATAGACTCTCTCGACATAACGAAAAGATCGTTGTAAACGAGAACGGCGCGTGAGAATCGTAGGCCAACTTGCACGTATGGATTTGTTTTACACAGAGAGCTACTAATCGCGCTACGCATACGCACACTTATTAATTTGCTTGGTATATATACATACATTCAACATTTATACGTTTAGACACCGAGTACATAAACAGAGAATGCGAGAGCCTCAGGAGGAGGCTGCGCATTGTACGAACTACGAATTTTTAGAAACAAAGCTGTCTCGAGTTAACGAGTCGCCTGTTTGCTTGTCAGAACTTCGGTGCGAAGTTTCATTAAAAATTGCGACGAGTGTCGAATTGCAAATATCGGTGTGCGATATAAATGATTGTTTG